TAAAACGGCGGTGTGCCCTAGGTATGTTAATAGAATAGTTAGGGTAAAGATTTACGTAGGAATATTTGCACAAATTAACTTCAGCTTCTGTTTAAACATATTCTTATTCAAATTTTCATATTGTGTACTTACGCTGCACCATATTCATAAAACGTCAAGGATTCTTACTCAATACTTCACGAAGGGCACTATATCTGGCACAAGACTCTGCCCCAAGGTGTTTTCACACAGCTGGAAACTGTGTTTCCTCTATGTACTAGGCTCCATATTGCTGAGGCTTTTGAAGCCGCCAGGGTTTTTGCCACAGGGGAGTCCCTGCTGAGCACCTGGGGATTCCCTGGGACAGTGAGAGTGCCAGGGAGCAGGAGACAATTAGAGCCGGACTCAGCGTAATAATCCCTCTTGGGGCCTTTGCTGTTTATTTTCTCACATTCCTCCTGCCGGCCACCTCATAGCTCACCTTCCCCCCAAGTCTCTGATACTCTTGACACAGAGCAGAACCAGCAGAACTGAATGGAAGGATGCAAATGAAACAGGCTGGAGGGGTTTGGGAATAGGCCCTGGGCAAGGCTGAAAGGTGGGATGGCTGAGAAGGGATTTAACGACAGTTCCAAGAGCTCCAAATGGGGCAGGGGAGGTGGTGTCCACAGGGAAGGAAATGAGAGGAACAGGTTTACATTCCAAGAGGACTGGATCAAGGAACGGCTTCCAGTCTTCTGGAACTTTTTGACAAAAGATGAGTGAGAGGGTCTGGTAGTCATGCTACACTGAGAGGCAGCCTCAGCTGTCTGAAGACAATCTTGAAAGTGAAACTAATCTCACTTTGAAATGTATAAAACACAAATATATGTGACAAGAATTAGCACAGAAGTTATAAGTAATCTTATATAACTTTAATCAGTTTGAAAGTATTTTATTGAGCAACTACTCTGTGCCAATCATTACTAGAGATTGGAAGGAAGGGAATCAATAGTAGGTATTGAGATTGAGATTAGTAGAGATTGGGAGGAAAGGACATCCAAATACTCATTTGGAGATGGAAGGTATTTGATGTACTTTCTCCCTCCCTACACTGAATGTTCCTTACTGCCAATCTCTCTCCACAGGGCTCACCTCCTATTGCATTTCTGGCCCTTGATTCTTTTTTTTTTTTTTTTTTGAGGCAAGGTCTTTGCTGTGTCACCCAGGCTAGAGTGCAGCAGGCTAGATTGCAGTGTCACAATCACAGCTCACTGCAGCCTCAAACTCCCGGGTTCAAGTGATCTTCCCATCTCAGCCTCCTGAGTAGCTGGGAGTAGCTGAGTAGCTACAGGTGCTTGCTACCACATCTGGCTAATTTTTAAATTTTTAGTAGAGATGGAGTCTCACTATGTTGGCCAGGCTGATCTAAAACTCCTGGCCTCAAGCAATCCTGCCTTCTCAGCCTCCCAAAGTGCTGGGATTATAGGCATGAGCCACCATGTCTAGCTGCATTACTGGCTCTATGAGAGAGAAGGCAGAAGAAGACTGCCCTCTGAGAAAAAAAGTGAATAAAACACTTTTTAAATTTTTTAAAAGTTTTTAATGCCTGTTGTTTTACCATTATAGCTTCATTTATTCCCACCTTTAAAAGTTCCTGAAGTTTAAATACCCATAGATCAGAGGCAGTGTCCATTAGTAAGAATAAATGGCAGTTGGTTGCCATAGAAATATTTAGTTGAAATCATCTGAACACTTCAGATGCTCTAGCCTGGCCTTATGTTGTTCAGGGCCCGAGACTGGCTAGGCTGGGGCTTAGATTTCACTGAGAGGAACTTTCCCTTCTGGCTGGCTTAGCTTCCAGAACATGAGCCTGGCTAGGGATTTATACTGCCCTAGATCCAAAAACAAAATTAAAGGACAACAAACATATCGGGAAAATATTTGCAATCTGTGACAAAGGCAAATCACCTTAATATAAAAATAGCTTTGACAAATCAATAAAAGATGAATACCACAGAGAAAACCAACAATAACAATTTAAAAATAAAGCCAACAGAAACATAAAGAGATAATTTGTAAGCGAGGAAATACAACATGATAAAATTGCAAACGATAAAAACACTTCACATTCACAAGTAATTAAAGAAAAGCAAAATAAAGCAATCATGAGATCCTTTTTCACTTATCAAATTAGCAAACATTTTGTTTCCTTTTTTTTAGTGATGAAATTCAGTATTGGCAGGAGTTCAGAAAATGAATCTCTTTTATACATTGGTAGGAGTGTAAACTGGCAAAGCCTTTCTGGAGGGACATTTGGAATATTTATTAGTGGCTCTTCAAAGCGGTATTTCTCATTACATATACCACAGAGAATTGGTCAGGTAAGCTATGGTACATCCACATGGCACCATTAAAACGTTGCAGAAGAAAGATTCAGTGATGTTGAGAAAAGTAGATTACAAGTTCATATATTCAATATGAGTATAGTTTTTGTTTTTGTTTTTTTAATGTATAGAAGGACGTGAAGAACCAGATTCTTAGTCATATAAAATTACTATTTGAAATTTACTTTGCTTCCATGAATGAACCTACTTAAAAATTTATTTATTTATTTATTGAGATGGAGTTTCACTCTTGTTGCCCAGGATGGAGTGCAATGGCGTGATCTTGGTTCACTGCAACCTCCATCTCCCAGGTTCAAGTGATTCTTCTGCCTCAGCGTCCGGAGTAGCTGGGATTACAGGTATGAGCCACCACACCTGGCTAATTTTGTATTTTTAGTAGAGACGAGATTTCTCCATGTTTGTCAGGCTGGTCTCGAACTCCCGACCTCAGATGATTCGCCTGCCTCGGCCTCCCAAAGTGCTAGGATTACAGGAGCGAGCCACTGTGCCAGCTTAAAAATTTAATAGGAAGAATTTCCCTAGTGGTAATTACTTTGTTCTATGAATTTTCTTTTCTTTTTTCTTTTCTTTTTTTTTTTTTTTTTTGATGGAATCTCACTCTGTCGCCAGGCTGGAGTGCAGTGGCATGACCTTGGCTCACTGCAACCTCCGCCTCCCAGGTTCAAGCGATTCTCTTGCCTCAGCCTCCCAAGTAGCTGGGAACACAGGTGCGCACAACCACGCCCGGCTAATTTTTGTATGTTTTTAGTAGAAACAGTGTTTCACCACCTTGGCCAGGCTGGTCTCTGTCTCTTGACCTCATGCTGCGCCCACGTCAGCCTCCCAAAGTGCTGGGATTACAGGCGTGAGTCACCGCGCCAGGCCCTATGAATACTTATTAAACTCCTCCTACAAGCCAGGCGCCACTCTAGGTGAAAGAGACAGAAGTGAATAAGGCAAACATCTAGCTTTTATGTCCCTTTTCGTAGGGAACACAAGAATAAGTAAAACCAACAGAAATAAGAGGGTGACAGTTTCATGAAGAAAATACAGTAAATTTACCGGGATAGAGATGGTAAGGAGGTCGGGGGCAACATCAGGTACAATGATGGATCTGATGAAATGATATTTGAGTTGGGCCAGAGTGAGAAGGATTCCAGGCAGACGGGAGAACAGGGGCCAAAGCCCTGGGGTGGGAAGAGCATTGAAATACTTATGGAGCAGAAATAAGTTCAGTGTGGTGAGAGTCTGTGTGTGAAGACAGCAAGAGGGGAAGAAATGGAGTCAGAGTTCGGCAGGCCCCACATCACCTACGCTCTTAAGTCAAGGGAAGGCAATGGGAAGCCATTGGAGGACTTTACTAAAATTCGATAAAATGCATTCTTAAGGATACAACACAAAATCCAAACTTTCGGTAATAATTTATGGCTAAAAGTTAACTTTAGGTATATAATCTTCTTTTACAAAACAATTCTGTGGGACAGAGCTGCTACCGAGGCTCAGAGAAGTTGAGTGGCCTGACCACAGTCACACAGCTGACAGGTAGCAGGATTGGGACTAGAGCCTGGAGCTCCTGCACCCTACGTCAGTTACTAGGAATGACTAGAAAAGCCGCACTGCCACACTGAATGTAAGCCGACATGGCAGCTCAAATGCACACATTAGCATTACCGAATGAGTGAGCCAATGGAGCCAGTGAGTTCTCCCATCACCAGCTCCCCTTAGCATTGGCTTTGAAGATGGTAACCGAGAAACTCAGACTGGGTTGCCCCATGTTATTGCACCAGGACAAGAGACTCTGAGACACTGGTTGCAACATTTGGCGTCTGCTTCGGATGTCTGTAAGCCTTTTGAGAGATGAGCCTGGGTGTGCGGTGGCAGGCTGCCTTTTGAAAGAGCCACACGGTCCTGCCTCCCCAGACACCTTCCTGGAGGAGGATTGAGCATTATCCCAAAAATGAAGGGTGGCCTTGAGCTGTCCCATCAGGCCCCAGCAATACCCAGCTCCTCATCAGGATGGGTGCAAGTGTTTGTTTTCGACTTTAACCTTCTCTTTCACCCTTTGCTCTTTGTTTCCAGGGCGAAGCCAGTCAAGCTGAGCCATCTCAGCAGAGCCTTTTCCAGTGGCTGCAGAACCCACCTCACAACAGCCACTGGCCGGTGCTTCTTCCTCTCTGCGTGGGATGTTGCCTCTTACTCCTCTCGCAGTCCACCTGGCTCTCCTTGGCTTGGGCAGCCACGCTGGGGCAGCATCGCATACCCTCAGTGGTCAGTTTTATCTCTCAGTTCCCAAAACGCTGCTCTTGGTTAGCTGGACCTTTCCCAGTCTGGGCTTTACAGCATGGACTTACATTTTCTCTGGACAGTCCAACTGTTCTTCCGCAGGGTCCTTCATACACATGGCTCTTTGAGATTTGAGTTTGATTCTTTTTTTTTTTCTAAAGATGGGGTTTCAATCTATCACCCAGGCTAGAGTGCAGTGGCACGGTCATAGCTCGCTGCAGCCTCCAACTCATGGGTTCAAGCAATCCTCCCATTTCAACCTCCTGAGTAGCTGGGACTATAAGCAGGTGCCATCTCACCCAGCTAATTTAAAAACTTTTTTTGTTTTTTTGTAGAATGAGGTTTTGCTTTGTTGCCCAAGCTGCTCTCAAACTCCTGGCCTCAAGCGAACTCCTGCCTCAGCCTCCCAAAGTACTGGGATTATAGGTGTGAGCCACTGCAGCCAGCTTCCAGACTCCTTCAATGAGGAGGTAAGTTATGTGAGGAACCTGGAGTAGTCAAACGTATCAAGACGGAAAGTTGAATGGTGGTTGTTGGGCCTCAGGGGAAGGGGGAATGGGGAGTTGTTGTTTAATGGGTATAGAATTTCAGTTTTGCAAAGTGAAAAAAAGTTCTGGAGATCCATGGAACAATAAGGTGAATATACTTAGTGAACACTACTGAACTGGACACTTAAAAAATAGTTAAACCAACCTGGCCGGCGTGGCGAAACCCCATCTTTACTAAAAAGACAAAAAACTTTAGCCAGGCACAGTGGCTCACACCTGTAATCCCAGCTACTCAGGAGGCTGAGGTGGGAGAATCGCTTGAACCCAGGAGGCAGAGGTTGCAGTGAGCCGAGATTACACTATTGCACTCCAGCCTGGGTGACAGGGTAAGACCCTGTCTCAAAAAAAAAAAAAAAAGAAAAAAATAAGAGGTTAAGATGACCAATTTTTTGTTACGTGTTTTTTTAAACTATGGTTTTGAAAAAAAGCAGATAAAGAGTAGGCCTGATCTGCCCACAGTTTGCTGCCCTCCTCTCTGCCCACCTGCCCGCTTGAACACATGGAGCTCTCCTTCCCTGTGTATAAGATTGTTATTTGGTAATGAGACGCCTTACCTGCCACTTAATGTCATCAGATAACTGAGAGTCCACTACCTTGAAGTCTCCATGAAGACACAGTCCATCTCCTCAACACACTCCACTGATGCCTCCAACCCCACTGACCTTGGAAACCCTTCCTGTCAAAGTCACAGATGACTTCCACTTTGCCAAATACAATGGTTGTTTTCTGGTCTTTCTCTCAACTTCTCTCTTGGACACAGTTGACTTCCTTCTTGAAATATACTCTTGTTTTGGTTTCAGAACCACCTCAATGTCCTGGTTTCTGCCTAACTTAATAAACGTTTGGATCCCTCTGCTCGTTCCACCTCTTCTCAAATGACTAACTGTTGATGTAGCCCAAGGCTCTATCCTTGGCCTGCTTCTCTTTTCCCTCAGCATTTTCTCTCTAGAGCATCTCATCTATCCCTGAGACTTACAGATAAGTCAACAAGATATTTCCCAGATCTGTGCTTTCAGCCTGGATCTTCCCACTGAGTTCTAAATTATGCCTCCAACTGCCTTCTTGACCTCTCCACTTGGATGTCTGTATCAACCCATTAAGAATTTTCAATTCATTGGGGGTATAAACATGAAATTGGTTCATGTTTTTCCATAAATGCCCTGATTATGCTAGTCTCAATACTCAAGAATCTTGGGATAGTTCAGTCCAATTCCACAATGTTACTGAGGATTATTATTATTGAGATTATTATTATTATTATTGTTATTGTTATTATTGAGACGGAGTCTTGCTTAGCTGTCCAGGCTGGAGTGCAGTGGTGTGATCTCGACTCACTGCAACCACCGTCTCCCAGGTTCAAGCAATTCTCCTATCTCAGCCTCCCAAGTAGCTGGGATTATAGGCACCCGTCATCATGCCTAGCTAATTGTTGTATTTTAGTAGAGATGGGGTTTCACCATGTTGGCCAGGCTGGTCTTGAACTCCTGACCTCAGGTAATCCACCCGCCTTGGCCTCCCAAAGTGCTAGAATTATAGGTGTGAGCCACTGCACCCAGCCAATGTTGAGATTATTACAGTAGTCTCATTCTATATTTTAAAATCTCAGTACTATTTATACTTAAATATTATCTCAATGGTCAACTCTTTGTCTAGGACAGGAAATTGTCAAATAGGCCTAAAACACCTTAATATATCAGAAAGCAAGGAATCGATCAAAAAATCTTAGGGCCATGCCAAAAGAATCCAGGAGCCAACATGAAGTCTCCCTTTGTCTAAAGATGGAAATGTTTGAACAATAAAAATAACAACTGCTGTGGATTAAACACATTAAACTCCTTAAATGTTTACGTTCACAATGAAACTTTAAAAAACTCTCTCATTTGTCCTCTTTTAAGGATGACTAGGCAACCAATACATTATTTTGAAAACTTGTAAACAAAAGGAAAAAATAAATGTTTCCAGTATAAAATGAGCCCCAGGACAACCCAGTGAAGAGGGAAATGTATCTTTACAGAAGTATTTCAGCTAATAAAGGAAGAAGGATTAAATTGGAATATCACATTTTTTGGAACCTCTGGTGAAATCATTGTTCTTGGCAATAATCACCAATAATGGCTAAAAAGACAACTGTAGAAAAAAGCATAAGGGGAGAGCTTCACAATATTGGATTTATCAAGGATTTCCTCAGTATGATACCAAAAGAACAGTCAACAAAAGTAAAAATAGACAAATGGGACTACATCAAAATTAAAAGCTTCTGTGTATCAAAAGACAATCAACAGAATGAAAAAATAACCCACAGAATGGTAGAACATATTTGCAATTCATACAAGGGTTATAAGGGGTTAGGATCCAGAATACATAAAGAATTCCTACAACTCAACAAAAACAAAAAGTTCAATTAAAAAAATGGGCAAAAGACTCAGACATTTCTCTAAATATGATATACAAATGGCCAAAAAGCATATGAAAGATGCTCAGCGTCACCGTCACTGATCATTAGGAAAATGCAAATCAAAACCACAATAAAATATAACCTCACACCTGGGAGGATGGCTAATCAAAAAACAAAAAATGTATAGCAATTAAACAAAAATAAAACAAGTGTTGGAGCAGAGGCAGAGAAATTGGAACGCTTGCACATTGCTGGTGGAATTGTAAAATGGTGCAGCTGCTGTGGAACACAGTTTGAAGTTTCCTCAAAATATGAGAAATAGAATGACCTTAGGATCCAGTCCTTTGATTTCTAGGTATATACCCACAAGAATTAAATGAACAATCTTGAAGCGATATTTGCACACCCATGTTTATAGCAGCATTATAGTCAAAAGGTGTAAACGGCCAAAGACTGGGCAGATTGATGGATGAATGGATAAACAAACCTGGTACACGCATACAATGGAGGCCCTGAAAGTGAAGGGAATTCTGACGCATGCTACGACATGAACCCTGAGAACACTATGATAGTGGAACAAACCAGTCACCAAAAGACAAATATTGTGTGATTCCACTTACATGAAGTACCTAGAGTAGTCCGATTCATAGAGACAGAAAGTAGAACGGTGATTGCCAGGTGCTGGAATGGGGGCAATGAGGAGCTTTTGTTTAATGGGTGCAGAGCTTTAGTTTTGCAAGATGGAAAGGTTCTGGAGAGGGATGGTGGTGATGGTTGCACAACAGCGTGAAGATACAAAAGCTACTGAACCGTACACTTGAAAATACTTGATTATACATTTTAAGTATGTGGTTTTATTTTATTTTATTTTTTGCCACAATAAAAAGAAAGAAATAACCTGTAACATAATCTTGCCAAAAAAAAAAAAAAAATTAAATCTGATCAAGCCTCTTGATCTAACTACCCAATTTATAGAAAATGTGGGACAGAGGAACATGTTACCAAGGTCACTTGGAAGCAATCAGCAAAACCCAAACTGTAGGAAACTCTACAGGAAAAACAACCAAATTTCTTTAATAAATTGCAAGAAAATAAAGTAGAAGGCAGAAGAAACCACAGATTAAAGGATTCTTTTTTTTTTTTTGAGATGGAGTCTCGCACTGTCGCCCAGGCTGGAGTGCAGTGGCGCGATCGCGGCTCACTGCAAGCTCTGCCTCCCGGGTTCATGCCATTCTCCTGCCTCAGCCTCCCGAGTCGCTGGGACTACAGGTGCCCGCCACCATGCCTGGCTCATTTTTTGTATTTTTAGTAGAGACGGGGTTTCACCATGTTAGCCAGGATGGTCTCTATCTCCTGACCTTGTGATCCGCCCACCTCGGCCTCCCAAAGTGCTGGAATTACAGGCGTGAGTCACGGCGCCCGGCCCACAGTTTCACTCTTGTTGCCTAGGCTGGAGTGCAATGGCACCATCTCAGCTCACTGCAACCTCTGCCTCCCGGGTTCAAGCGAGTCTCCCGCTTCAGCCTTCCTAGTAGCTGGGATTACAGGCATGCATCACCACACCTACCTGGCTAATTTTGTATTTTTAGTAGAGACGGGGTTTCTCCATGTTGGTCAGGCTGGTCTTGAGCTCCCGACCTCAGGTGATCCACCTGCCTTGGCCTCCCTAAGTGCTGGGATTGCAGGCGTGAGCTACCACGCCCAGCCAAGGACTCTGAAAAGATATAAACATCAAGTGCAATGTATAGAACTTATTTGGATTCCTAATCAAACTATACAAAATTATGGTACAATCTGGGAACATCTGATAATATTCAGGAATATAATGGCTATTTTAAGTCCTTAACTTTTGGTGGTATATACGAAAATATTTAGGGTAAAATAGTCTGACATCTGAGACTTGCTTAAAAATAATTGGGATGGGGAAGTTGGAGGGTAAGTATGGACCAGCAAAACTGGCTGAGTTGGTCATTATTGAAGGTTGGTGGCAGGAGTCACCACACTATTCTTTCTGTTCTGTGAAATAGAACCCCTCTTTTGGCTGTCTGTCTTACATCTTTCTCCACATCTGGGCAGCATCAGCCAATGTCTGCACAACTTTTAGACAGAAGACAATCACAACTGGGGACGGAGTTGAGGTCTGGTTGGGCATACCCACTCTGCAGTTGCTTATCTGGGAGTCTGTCCCTTCATTTATTGAATGAATCAATGAATGAATGAATGAATGAATGAATGATATTTTTCAAAGCTGCGCACTGTGTTTGAAATAATCTATAATAAAAAGTTTTGTTTTTAAAATAGTAACCTTTGATCCTACTTGAAGTCAGCCTCCTCTTCAAGGAGTATGTATCTCATACTCCTTGCTGTGTATCTTGACAGCACCTTGACATAGGAGACAAAGGCATGGAGGGTACACACTTTGCCCCTCCAGCTCCCCTGGACCTACCCTCCTGGGTCGCAGCAGAAGGTGGAACAGAGTAGTGGGGACAGCTCCTTGCTGGGCTGCCCGGAGCAGGGAGGCAGTCTC